AATGAGAGGCCACACAGTGCTTGTCCCTGAATAGGATACCTATTGCATACCTCTGCCTCCCAAGGCTCAGGGATCATTGTAGAAGAGGAGGTAGAAAGACTGTAAGAACCAGAGGAATGGATGACCACAAGGAAACAGAGTCTTCCAGACATATGTATACATAGGAACTCACTGCAATAGTGACAACATGCACAAGTCCTGTCGGGAGCTGGAGAAACAACATTCATTACCAAAAAATATAATATGGCTCTACAAACAGTTGACTTAAGCAGGACATTCTGCCTGCACTAGTAACCTTGAGAAAGAATTTATGGCAAGGTTATCTTTCTCTTCCCCTTGCAAACAGTTCTCGGAAAAGATAAGTCATGCAGTAATCTCTTGGAACACCTGGTGGTCAGTCACGTTGCTGAACTGCTCAGTCCCTCTCCCATATCCATAAGAATGCTGTAACCTTATATACAAACTGTATATAAGGAAAGCTTACAGTTCAATAAAGCGGGCCCTTGACAAGTGGACTTGCTTGGGCTCCGTCTCCTCTTTCTCGCCCGTTTTTCCTTTCAGGGAGTGGTCCCCCTCGAGCTTTACCTGTACAGGGTCCCCACAGGTGGGAGCAAAGTTCCATGCAAACTCAAACCAGACAAAATTCCAGCATAAACATGGGGAACTGGGTGAGAAATCCCAACCCAACCCAAGGAACTTTGGGCAATTGATAACTGCCAGGAAGGGGAAAAACAGTGTCTTACAGGGATGGCCCAGTGGATGAACCCACACTGAAGGACAATTGGGGACACAAGTCAGACTCTGAAGGCTATATTATATACATAAGAAAGGACACTAAATTGGGCAGAAGGCAATGGGAGCAGGAGTAAGTAGGGAAGGGAAACTAAATACCATCAAATTATACTGTACAAAAATTGCAAAAGTTCAGTAAAAAATGAAAAATTGAAAAAAAAAGTAAAATTAAGCTTAACATGGCATTTTAGAGGTGGTTTGGAGGAGGACTGGCTGGGTACTTGGTAGAATGTCCCTCTATTAAGATCTGTCAGTTATATTTCTTATGATTAGATTTGGATCAGTATGTATTACGAGGAAGACAACAGAGATAATGCACCATTATCCTGTCTTCACACATGCTGCCATCATGACTTCTTCATTAACACTGATCTGCAGCACCTGATCAAGTAGTCTTTGTCCGCTATCTCAGACAGAAAGCTACAATTTCAAGTTGCGCCCTATACCCTTTGGAAGGAAGTCACCACATACACAAATGCTTTTTAGAGAAGAAATGCTTTCTCACTTCAGCTCTGATCAACTACTTCAGTGCTTCATTTCATAATGTAAGAGCTGCAATAAAAATTCATATGATTTGGCTTTTACTTTAGCCAACATCTGTTTTAATTTGTGCTGCCCTTGGGGTATCACTCCCAAAAGCTTATGAAATACTATTTTCAGCCATAACCAGTGTTCTCCCGGAGGACTCCAAACCTCCTTTCTCTCCACCAGTTGTCACCTTTCCAATCATGCGTTCTTCGTTCCAACAGCAGCAGAGCACACTCTGTAGACTGACTTCCAGTATGCTTTGCAGGCACCCTTCCCAGCAGCCCACCTAGCTAATACGCCACCTCCACATCTTCTCTCCAAATCTCAAGTGACTACCTCTTCAGGTTCAGGTCCACTTCTTGGTGCCAGGAAATGGTTCAGCCCCACTGTACCCCTGTGGACTATCTCTTGGCTGTAGCCAAACCAGGGGTGGCCTAAATGAAGCTGAATCAAGTTCTTCACTCTGCCGTGCCCTGCAATCATAAAGGCTTCCTTCTCTTCTCACTCTTGCAGAAAGCTGTTTCTAGTTTCCCTTATGTATTATGAGCCATCCAACTGGTCGATCTCTTTCATACACCCTTGGATACATTGCTCTCTTCTCTATCAGATGTTACTACAATCCTGTTAAATACCTTGTTCAGAATCTGTCTTGGAGGAACACTATCAAATTGTTTTCTGTTTCTGTGTTTTTCCTTCCAGTCTTTGTGCACAGATTTCAGTCAAAACTGTTTAAAATGAAATCTTTTCTTTACCTACACTGTGAGCATCTATCTACATGCACACAAATAAATCTTTCAGACTACCCATGTGACCATGTAGCCCTGGATCAATGAGAATTGTCTCTGGATAAATCAGATAATAATAAATTATAATCATTAATAATAATGTTTTCTTGCTGCTCCCATTTAAATATAATAAAAATTTGCTCCTTGAAGATCAGATATCTTAGTGGCTAAACTGTATTGGCTCTGTTCTTAACCTTTCAGCAACTTAGTATTGAAACTTAACAGTAAGTAATATCTGGTGTGCAGGCAACGATTGTATTATCTCATTCTATGTATGGTCTTAGTAAAGAATTGGGCCTTCTAATCATTGTTTAGAAATAGAAATATTGCTACAAAGTAAAAATAAAACTAAGTAATATGTTTTTCTATACTTTCTTCCCTCTAACTTTGAAAGGGTATGGAAGATTTTAGAATGGAAATCTTCCTGACCTGGTTTCAACCAAAGTGTTAATGTATTGCAAATCATGTGTCAAAGTCATCATAAGACAAATCCCCACATGCAAAGTTTGCAAAGGAAATGTGTCAGAATCATTACATAACTCCTGGCATCCTCAACAAGACCAAGAAGCAGAGAGCAGTGAGACTGATGACAAGATTTCCCTGGAGATAGCTGCTTCCTGCTGTTCCCACCCCCACCTCTATGCAGGGGATTCTGACTTTTAGCTCCTTAACCTTGAGTTTTGAAATGGGGGCTTTTATGAGTTCATGTAGAGTCTTGAAATTTGTTCTCTGTAGTTGGAAGATATAGCAAAAAAAGTACTTAACTCTCACCAAGAAAACTAGGAAGAGGCATGGCAGGAGAACAGAAATAGTTCTGTGAAATTCAACTAATAGAACACTTACTTACTAGGCTTTGGTTTATTGGTTGCTGAGGGTGGTCAAAAATTTCTTCATAGTTTTCACATGGAGACCTGATAGTGACCTTTCTTTCACTCAAATCTGGAGAGTTCTGTGGCAGTTTTGACAATAAAATTTATTTTGAATTACATAGTGACAGCCTGCTAAACTTCTCTACAAAATGCTCCTAGGGTAGGTGTGATAGTGAACACTAGTAGTCCTAGCACACAAGAGGTAGAAACAGGAGAATCAAAAGTTCAAGGTCATCCTCAGGAATACTGAGCAGCTACAGGGAATACTAGTTAGAAAGAAAAAGAAAAGAACAAAGTAAAGGGAAAAAAGATGAGAGAGGAGAAAGAAAGAGACGGGGGAGGCAAAGAAAAGAAAAGAAAAAAGAAAAAGACCATTTGGGAGCCCTGAGCTGCCTCATGTAAGAAGTTTGGCTACCTAGAGAGCACTAGACCAGAGAAATTTGTGTATTCCCTGGAAAAAACCAACTTCTCAGAGTCTCCTAAGCAAAGCATTTATGTCTTGGTCCATTTATATGGATCCATCCTCAGCTGAATAATACTAGCTTCTCTCTACTAATGCCATAAACACAGAAGAAATGTCCAGTTGAGTATTTCATGAATTTCTGGTATATATAAGATTGCATGATAATAATAAAATAGTTATTTTTAAGCCACCAAGTTAGTACATAATTTGTTATGCAGGTGTAGAAAACTGGAACAACTGAAAAATACTGTTTGTGATAGGTGAGATGCAAAGGCCCTAGAACAGAGATTCATCATGTATCAAGACTGGATTTAGGGTCAGGCAAGGAGCTGCGATATAAGAGGTCTAAAGACATAAATCAAAGGCACGTATACATTACTTAGGAGGAACTGCTATTAAAGAGGCGTAACAATAAACAACGGGAAATCCTGTGGAAGCATCCATGAGAGAAAGCTTTCCAAATTCTCCAGACCACAGAACATAAAGCAGCTCCCAGTACAATGAAAAAATAAACTTACAGGAAAAGCCAACCAACATGAAGCTAATCCAAGTAGGCAAAAGAAGATGCTTTGCTGTTAAATCAGCTTCACAGCTGTGAGTGTTACAGACTTGGAAATACCAGTTCAAGAATTGAGCCACTGTTTATGGTTAAAGTGGCTATTACCCAAAAGCCAGCAAAATTTCATACAACTGTAAGAGTTTTCTTTCAGCATCAAGGGAATATTACCCCTTTTTATAAAGTTTAAGAATATAGAGAAAGAAGAGAGTTGATTGTTTTTTCTTGAATAGAGAGTAGGAACTTGCCATGTTGTCCAGCCTGGTCTTGAATTTGCAATCTTCCTATTTGAGCCTCCTAAGTAGCTAGGATCCCTGGAGTACACCACTGTACCTATCACAAGTTGTATTTGTGTATGACTAAATAGCCTTGGGCTTTCCAGTTACTGAACTGTAGATAGTAATCTCATTCATGTACTAAATCACTCTGGTACATACAGTACTTTACAATTAGATTATTGGAGAGCATATGTTCAAAGCAGTAGCCAGGTGTTTTTCAGGTACCTCATGGTAGAGAAACTGATGGGTTGTGAATCCGATTTTAGGCCCTAACTGAATAAGTATTCAGACTTACCTAAGAAATCCCATAGCTTTCCCACAGATCCTCTGGTTGATAAACCTGATCATGTCACTTTGCTCTTCATGAAATCTAATGTTACATTTACCCTTAAGGTGTTTAGCAAATATAGTATACTTTGTGATACTGTGTGTTATTAATAAAAAAGAAAGATCAACAAGTAAAGCATCACATAAATAAAATCATGCATGCATTTGGAACAGGCAAAGTTCTAGAATATTGTCAACTACTTAAGAATGGATTTCAGGTACTATACTACAGGGTTCTGTGCTTAAAGAATTTTGAAAGCCTATTTATGAAAAAGAAAACAAAATTATAATTACCAACTCAGAAATATAACTAACAATATTTTTTCTGAAAGGTGCATAGAAATTGCTATTTGGGGACTGGAGAGATGGCTCAGTGGTTAAGAGCACTGGCTGCTCTTACAGAGGACCTGGGTTCAATTCCCAGCACCCACATGATGGCTAATAGCCATCTGTAACTCCAGTTTCAGGGGATCTGACGTCCTCTTCTGGAATCCAAAGGTACTGCAGGCATGTGGTGCACTTAAATGCATGCAGGCGAAGCACTCATACACATAAAATAAAAATAGACTAAAAAAATTATTGTTTTTTTTCAGATATTTGTGCTATAATTCATTTGAAGAATTGTGGATACAACTAACTCTCAGGAATTTTATATTTACAGCAGGATTTATATTTTTCCTGATTGTATTTGTTTAGCTCTTTTATAGACATGCATAATGATTTATTTAGACCATTTGGAAAATAAAATAAAATGACTATTCCTTATTCTTTTCTTTTATTAAGTGCAAAATAAATTTACTATATCAGTTTGATAAGATAATAGTATCTTTACATGCCACTGAAAAAAAATTTAAAATCTGGTTAGGAGCTAGCAGTATATCACAGTGGTAGGACATATGGTTAACGCTGAGTTCAGCCCCGAGCCCTTCACCTGTCGCCTGCTCTGCCACCCCCCCACCTCGCCAATGAAGATTGGCCACTTACATCCAAAATAATAGATGAATTGTAGTAGATAATGATAAAACCTAGGATATCGAAATGAGTGAATCTAGAGGCCCAACTAAAAATAAAACACAAAAGAGCTTAGTTTTTATGGAGGTACTTACAAGTATCACATCATTGATTATACATCTTGGTCTAGGAAAGAGAAATGAGTCCAGATTCTGGATATTGGGACCCATGATTAAGTAGAATAAAACTGATATCAATGCCAGTCCTTGAAGACTACATGGCAGGCCCTCTACTCCCATACTTAGTTCAGACTAAAATTGCAAATGTCTTAGACACCTCCATCTGAATGGATCCCATCCTCCATGATCACTGATCCTTCATATTGTCTCCATAATGACAAAGAACAGTGGGAACTAAGCACACTTACTCCATCCAGGATGCCAGGTCTGGTTGTTTCATGGTGTTGCTCCCCTGTTTAAAGTGAATGCCATGCTGCTGAAGGCTAAATCATCAACTAACTTTTGTGACCATTTTTCTCCTTTCATTTAATGATAAAGAAGGTCAATCATCTAACCCCATGGCATAGCGTTGACTCTATCATGTAGGAAACACTAAAAAACTGTTGAACACTGGCATGTAGATGACTTTACATTGTATATGTATTACATATTGAATACTTGTCTGATCTTTCATTGTTCATTTCTATGACCTGAACAACATAATGGTTTTCATTAGCTTTGAATTGTAAGCTCTGAGAAGTGTTTACTGAACCAAGTACTCCCTTTTATTTTCTGCTTGAATAGTATACTGCAGTTAGTACTCTCACAATGGATATGGGTTTGATGTCATTAGAGCCTATGATTTATAGACCAAGTTTGCCTCACCTGTGAGAAATGGTGCTCCAGGTGTGTTTCAATGTAATTATGGTGATGTAAGAAAGGATTTTTGGCATTCCTCTAGCAATGTGGAGGTTTTACACTTTGGAGGCAATCAGGAAGTGCAGGCAAGCTGACAGTAGAAAGGACTCCCTCCTCCAGCAACTGTGAAATGGTGGGAATCTCCCAGCTCACCCCAAGATGCAAGATTCCAGGTGGAAAGAGAAGGGAGCCCCACACAGAGGTAATCTGAGGGGAATGAACTGACCATTTCCTGTAGTCTGAGTGCACTTCCGAGTTATGAGTTAGATCTGAACCCTTTCCTGATGCTTCCTGCCTCGGAGCACAGTGCAAAGTTTGAGAGATCATGTCCAGAATATTCTTGGGGACTTTGAAAATAGCTTATCAAATAGATTTTTAAAAAAGCAAGATTTTCCTTCCTTCCTTCCTTCTTTCCTTCCTTCCTTCCTTCCCCCTCCCTCCCTCCTTCCTTCCTTCCTTCCTTCATTCCTCCCTCTTTCCTTCCTTCCTCCCTCCTTCATTCCTCCCTCTTTCCTTCTTCCCTCCTTCCTTCCTTTCTTCCGTCTTCTCTCCTTCCTTCCTTCCTTCCTTCCTCCCTCCTTCCTTCCATCCTTCCTTCCTACCTCCTTCCTTCCTTCCGTCTTCTCTCCTTTCTTCCATCTTCTCTCCTTCCTTCCTTCCTTCCTTCCTTCCTCCCTCCTTCCTTCCTTTTTTTCTTTTGTCCTTCTTTCCTTTCTTCTTTTTCCACCTGGGATTAAATGTAAGCAAACTTTAGTATTGATTTTCATGCTGAATTTCAATATAGCTTTCACCTACCAATTCAATGAAAATGATTCCCAAAATTTTTAGAAATACTTCATTAATTATAAAATATTCAATATCTTTTTAATGCCCAAAAATTGTACTTTATTTTATGAGAAAAGCAAACAAATGTATAGGGCTTATAAAACTTCATTATAGTTTATAATTAAGAAAATAAGGGACATTGGTGTTTTATTAAATTACTAATTACTAATTCATTGTTCTTTAGGTTTCAAAAACATCTGCCTCACAAGGCTCAGGGGTCATTGCAGAAGATAGGAAGGAAAGATTGTAAGAGCCAGAGGTTATGGATGACCACAAAGAAACAATTTTCCAGACAGCTGATCATTTACTCATAAGAACTTACAGCAACGGTAACAGTATTTACAAGTCCCATGCAAGCTCAAGCCAGAAAAACATGCCAGCATAGACACGAACAAGAGGGTAAGAAACTCCAACTCCACCTAAGAAAACTGTGGCAACAGATGGCTGCTGGGAGAGGCACAGGCAGTTTCTTTCAAGTATGGGATTCTTGGTAGGTTAACCATGCTCCAATGGGTGGACCCACACTGAAGGATGTTTGAGGACACAAATTAGACTCTATAAGAGTCTGATAGATATATTAGAGTATACTGAATTGATCAGGAGCAATAAAAGGTGGTGTAGATAGAAGAGATGACCTAAGTACCATCAAATTATATTGTACAAAAATCCCAAAAATTCAATATAAAAAAATAAAAAAATGAAGAAAATAATGTTTTAAATAAAATTAAATATCCAATAGTTTCTATTCTTTATTATAAAATCCCTAAAATAACCAATACTTTACTTGCTTTCTAAGAAGAACAGTTGTTTGTATTGTTGCCAAAGACTATACTGGGAACATCACAGGCAGGACTGAGGTAACTGGGAGAATGGGGTCATAGAAGACAACCCAGCCCTGTTCCTATCTCTACAGACCAAGAGGCTATCAGAAAATCCTGATCCCAGTTTTCACAATCAAGTGCTGCTTTTTAAAATAGAAGAATGTCTGAACTCTAGGACAACAAACTATCTGAATCGACGACAGTCGTGAAATCAATCCTAGGATCCTGACTAGTCTTAAAAAGGAGTGAGACAGGAGACCACCCAGAACACTGCAGCCGTGTCTTGGTGGCTATGTATGTCTCCTTTGTGCTTCTGCGGACTGAAGGCAGGTGGTGTCCACTGTACCTAGTGTTCCGGGGTATTTCCCCACACATGTGCACTGATGAGGAGTCTACATCATCAAGAGACTTTGACGTCATCATAATGTTGTTTACACTGTAGTTTTGACACAAGCACACCCTACTTTGTTGACTTTTCTGGAGGATCATGGGAAGAAATACCATTAAAAAGGAGACCCAGTCCACCATGATTTAGAAGAGAACAAAAGGTATCTGCCTTATACCACGAATACTGTTAGGAATTAGTTTTAACTCTCTCCCAGGACCCAGGTTTAGGCATGAAAATGTTAGGAATTAGTAGTTTAAGTAGAGAGCTCTCTCCCTCGTTAGAATTTTCTCCTGGTAAATGTTAGGATTAGGAGTTGAAAGAGTCACAGGTGGAAAAGCAAAACAACCAACCTCTTACAATCCATACTGACCTTTAGTAGTCCATGAGGGGTGACCATTCACTAGTAGAGTCTGCAGTAGACACACTGGCCAAACAGCAGAGGAACTTAAGTACCTCGGTGTATGTAAACAGAGTCACAGTCACTGGGAGTGGGTAAAACATCTAGGGTCTGCATTCTTCCCCATAAGGGTCTCAGAAGGTCTTATTTGTAGAACTTTATGGTTAGGACTTATTGGGGACCCCAGATAGGCTTGCCTGCAAAGCAAGAATTGTTTTATGGTTTGGAGTTGATGATTGTCTCCCTTCAAATACCATAAATGCTCATAAAAATGTCTTTAGTGCTGGTCATGGTGGCATATGCCTATAATCCCAGCACTTAGGAGGCAGACGAGGATTTCTGTGAGATCGAAACCAGCCTGGTGTTCATAGCTACTGCTAGGCCAGCTGGGGAAAGTCTTTAAATCCACAGTGTCTAACCCACTGCACTGCTACCAGCTCCCTCTGGGGTAGCCCACTCCAACCTCTCTTTGGAGTATCTGGTTTGCTAAATAAAACTTCTTAAACAAAAACAAAAGCAAAAACAAAATAACAGTTTTAAGTTTGAAAACTTATCACTGAATTCTTTTTAAATCACACTTGGTAGAATTTCTAGACCAAAGCCTCTTGACACATTGCCAATAGCTTTATGCTACCTTTACCTTGAAGAAGTTTCCAACTCTTTGGGAACTTTATTTTCTTAGGTTTTTTTTTTTTCTGCATGTGTGTATGTATGTGGGGGGGAAGTATACATCTGGAGGTCAGAGACATCCTTTGGGAGCTGGTTCACACTTCCACCCTGGTGAAGCGGGGTCTCTCTTGTTGCTGCTGCCACTCCCTTTTCCAGGTCAGCTGCCATTTAGCTTCCTGGTCCACCTCCCATTTCACCACAAGAACACTGGAATTGCAGATGTGTGCCACCACATTCAGCTTTTACATGGGTTCTCATGATTGAACTCAGGGAGCCAGACTTATATGGATAGTGATTTTTTACCTGCTGAGCCATTTCCCTGGCTCGCTAAACTTCGTTTTTTAAACAACTTTAGATATATAAAAAATTGCAGTGCAGGCTGGAAAGATGGTTAAGAGCACTGGCTATTCTTGCCAGGTTCAAGTCCCAGCACCCACATGGCAGTTACCAATCATCTGTACCTCCA